ACTGCATGTGATTCAACTCCGTTTATGAAAGGAAATTCAAATCTAGCTCTATTTTTACTGGATGAGCACAATTGTGTGTCTCATTACCAGAAAACAAGTCTTGCTGCTAGGACTAGAAACTGCATGTGATTCAACGCCGTTTATCAATGGGAATTCAACTCTAGCTCGCCTTACAAGAAACACACTCTCCTTTTGAGAAAGCAGCACTCTTCTACTCTACTGTGTTTCCTGTAGAGCCAGAACAGTCAGCTTGCTTAGAACAAAGAACTGTGCTTCCTACACACAAGGGCCATATCTAGTTCAACTCTGCTTAGGAAACTGACAAGAACAGTAGTTTCTCTTGCGTCCAATAAACTGAACTTGCTGGGAACAGTCGCTAGTGATATTTGCACTTTGTGTGGCCAACTGAGCACAATAGTGACTCCCCTTACCAGAGAATAACTCTTGCTGCTAGGACCAGATACTGCATGTGATTCAACTCCGTTTATGAAAGCTCATAGCACTCGCGTCTGTTTCCAGCAAGGATTGTGTATTGGAGGAAAGATTAGCTACTGTTCTTGTCAGATTCCTAAGCAGAGTTGAACTAGATATGGCCGTGTGTGTAGGAAGCCCAGTTCCTTTGTTTTGAGCACGGTCATTGTTCTGGCCTTACAGGAAACACAGTAGAGTAGAAGAGTTCTCCTGTCTCAAAAGCAGAGTGTGTTTCTTGTAAGGTGAGCTAGTTTTGCTTTCAACTTCATAAACGGAGTTGAATCACATGCAGTTTCTGGTCCTAGCATCAAGTGTTGTTTTCTGGTAAGGAGAGTCACTTGTGCGTTCCAATTGCCATACACAGTGCAAATAGAACTCTCGCCTGTTCCCATCAAGGACAGTTATTGAAGGCAAGAGAAGCTACTGTTCTTGTCAGTTTTCTAAGCAGAGTTGTACTAGATATGGCCCGTGTGTGTAGGAAGTGCAATTTTTTTCTTTCTGAGCAAGCTCACTATTCTGGCCCTATAGGAAACACAGTAGAGTAGAAGAGTGCTCCTTTCTCAAAATCAGAGTGTGTTTCTTGTAAGTGGAGCTAGTGTTGCTTTCCCCTTCATAAACGGAGTTGAATGACATGCAGTTTCTGGTCCTAGCAGAAAGAGTTGTTTGCTGGTAAGGAGAGTCACTAGTGTGCTCCCATTGCCATACACAGTGCAAATAGCACTCGCGTCTGTTTCCAGCAAGTGCAGTGTATTGGAGGGAAGAGAACCTACTGTTCTTGTCAGTTTCCTAAGCAGAGTTGAAGTAGATATGGCCCTTTGTTGGGGAAGCACAGTTCTTTGGTTCTGAGCAAGCTTACTGTTGTGGCCCTATCGGAAACACAGTAGAGTAGAAGAGTGCTCCTTTTGCAAAAGCAGAGTGTGTTTCTTGTAAGGCGAGGTAGTGTTTCTCTCCCCTTCATAACCGGAGTTGAATCACATGCCGTTTCTGGTCCTAGCAGCAAGAGTTGTTTTCTGGTAAGGAGGGTCACTAGTGTGCTCCCATAGTCATACACAGTGCAAATAGCACTCGCGTCTGTTCCCAGCAAGGACAGTCAATTGGAGGGAAGAGAAGCTACTGTTCTGTGTTTAGAGTAGGTAGGTAGTTAGGTAGGCAGGCAGACAGACAGACAGACACAAAACAAATAGAATCAACTTTGAAAAACAAACATAGAACATACATCTGTGTATGAGAATGTACATCTGAGTACAGTTGCCCATAGAAGCCAGAAGAGGCATCAGATCTGGAATTAGAGTTCCAAGCAGTTGTGAGCCAATTGATGTGGGTGCTGGGAACCAAATTTGGGTCATCTGGAAGAGAAGTCTGTGCTCTTAAGCACTGAGCCACCTTTCTAGCCTCTTTTAACCTTTCTTGGATAAATTTTCCACTGTATGAAATGTTTCTGTGCTAATTCTACAATGCAGAAAATCATTATCAGGAAAAACAAGAAATTCATTTTGCCCCTTTTTTGTTGCTTACCCACTCACAAAGAAGAAACATTGGGCTCCAAATGGGCAGTTATTTACTGGATATAAACCAAAATTTTAAAACATTTCTGAGTTCATCAAGAAGAATGATTCATCCTTCATGTTTACAGTAGAACCATTGCCAGAGAAAATTATTTTTCCACAGGATTCTTCTCTATTATCAGGGATCACTCTCACTTTAGTCATAAAATCCATGTAGCTAATGGCAGCGGTCTCACTGATCTGCATTGGATATGCAATCACAACTTCCAGGGACTATGTTTGATATCTACATAGACAAAAGTCATGTTTACATTCTGGAAGTTGAAATTCTATATATGTGTTTATTTGTTCAGTGTTTAATGCAACAGAGGTTTCCAGCTTTAACTCTGCTCTAGGCCTAGGGGGCTAGGGCTGAGGTCAGTTAATGGCAGCTAGGTTTTTTTCTTTTGTGGTCAACATAGATCAAGTAAAATGCTGTGTGTTTACCGAGTGACTGACTGTTCATAAGTTATGAGATCTACAGGTTGGAAATGCAACAGGCTGCAGCCACACCCGCCAAGGCTGAAGCTTATGTCAGGCCCATGGTAGTGAATGACCTCAGCAGCACTACACCCTGTGATTTTTTTAAATCAGTTTTCTATAGGAAAACAACCGAGAAGAGAGAATTAGTTACGCAAAGGCAAATTTTTCTCTTGTTCCATCACTGTTTTTCAAAAGCGGAAGAGACATCAACAATGGTTCACAGAAAATGATTTCACTTAAGTCCTGTATGCCTTGAAGTGACAATGTAATGCGAATCGTTGCCTAGGATTGTCCCCTCACCGGTTATATGCAGCTATGTGAAATACCAGGTTTCTTAACCATTGAAACTTGTGTATAACTATGATAAGCAGGCCAGAAGTGGGAACCAGATCTCAGTATAGATGGTTGTGAGCCACCATTTGGTTGCTGAGAATTGAACTCAGGACCTCTGGAACAACAGCCAGTGCCCTTAACCTCTGAGCTATCTCACCAACTCCCCCCCATCTCTTTCTATCAAGATATAATCTGAATTCAAAAGTAGTTTGAGGGATAAACAGAGATGCTATGACTATACAAATCTGTACAATAGAGTATTACTACTGATTCATACCTAAAGTAACCTGTATCCCCAAACCCTAGTGCACTAGAACTAAATGTACTAGATGATTTTCTGTTGCTCGCTGTTTTTAACTTTGAAAGTATAAGAGTAGTCTACCAATTTGGCCTCTGGCCACTGGGACCTTGGTTATGTCACATCAAATAGCATCATGTCAGGGAAATGAATGGTCGACTACAAACCTCATAAGGTTTTCTTTTCCTATCTATACAATTAAAACACAGTGTTATTTGGCATGGAGTTGTTGTGACATGTACATTCTTATTCAGACCCCCAAACACTGACTAATAACGAATGGGTTTTTGTATTTATACCATACAGACATTCAAAATTGTTGCCATGAATTAATTTTGGGAACTATAATTTGATTCATTGCAAATTTACTTTAAATGTAAGATATTTATACATTATAGCTTATTGGTGTCCCCCCCCCTTCTATCACTATACTAACCATCTTTACAGGTGGGTAATTTTTTTTTCTTTTTGGCGTAATGACTCTGTTTTTCAAAGAATTCACAAGCACACCAATTAGATATATGAAGGCATATTCCAAATAATACTTACAGGAACAGTGTAGCCAATCTCTGCCAGAATCGCACCGTTTACCTACCAGTATCAAATCCCACAGTGAAGTTGTGTGTGATGGGAAATTGAAACCCTCTCTCAAATCCCACAGTGAAGTTGTGTGTGATGGGAAACTGAAACCCTCTCTCCATTGTTGTCCGTCTCATATGTTCAGAGTTAGTGAAAGGAGAATATTGGATTATGCACATTTGATCCATATGAGTCAAAAGCGAATACTCGGGGGGTTGTATGAGACATCACCATTCACTCTTTGAAATAGGAGGGATGAAAAAATATCAGATTGGGTTTGGGGATTTAGCTGAGTGGTAGAGCGCTTGCTTAGCAAGCAAAAGGCCCTGGGTGTAGATGTAACCAACCTTCTTATTAAATAAGAAACACAGAACCAATGCAAAGAAGAAAGCCAAGAGGTCAGAGCTAAGAGCTAAAACCTTACCCTTCCTCCTGCGGTGGTCCTACCTCTCCGAACCAGAGCTTCCCGTGTGTTAAAGTCTTTATATAGAGTTCCTGTTCTGCCTTCTCATTGATTGTAAACCCAACCACATGACCGCCTCATCACAGCCTGTCTGTATAGACCTCCAGGTTTTCCATGATCGGTATTAAGATTAAAGGCATGTGTATCCAATACTGGCTGTATCCCAGAACACACAGAGACTTACCCAGCTCTGCCTACCAAGTGCTGGGATTACCAGCGTATGCCATCACTGCCCTGCTTTCCTATGGCTTGCTAATAGCTCTGACCCCCGGGCAAATTTATTTATTAACATACAAATAACATTTTAATACAAATAAAATATCACCATATTTCCCTTTTTCTATTTTAATAAAAAGAAAAAAAGAAAAAGCTTATAATTAACATAAGAAAACCTATATACAAAAGTACAATAACTATATACAATATATACAAGTAATAAATACCTAAACAATGTCTAGTTCATTTGTATTTGACAAATTCAGAGAAAATAATTCCATTATCTACCCTATTGTATCTAATTCACTTTCTATCCTAATTAATCTTCAACTATAACTAACTAATCTTCAACTCTCTCAGAGACCCAAGAAGGAAATAATATTAGCTAACAAAAAAAAAACAGGAAGCATATGCAAGCAACTTCCAAAAAATTGTGAGTTGACAGAAACAGCCAGCTGCCTGGACAATCATCTGAGGTTTCTCCGCAGTGTCGGGGCATCATCTTCAGCCTATAGGCTTAGCGTATCTTAGCGTATTTGGGAAGTAGGATGTACACAAGGTCAACAGTTCAATCTCACATTGGTGTGAGAGCAGTCTATATATCAGAAACACCTGAATTCCACTAGTGTCATGTCATGATTCAGGATTTTAAATTCTGGAAATTGTTGATGTTTTTTTGAATTCAGCTGTCCATTCTTCTTGGCTATGTGTGTATGTGGCTTCATCTCAGCATCCCGTTCTTCTCCACATCCCTCTATTAAATGCCATTCTACTGTTGAGAGACGTGCGCTTAATTACTCTTGAAGAATAACTGTTTCAGCCACTGTCCCATTGCACATCAGAAGCCATCGGCCCACTGCCTGTTCAGCTGCCTTCGAAGAAAAGGGCACTGTACTTTTCCCGGATTGGGAAGGCCACTTCAGGGATGGTGCCATATTGTCCATAACCACACTTGTTTTGACAAGAATCAGTAGTCCTTTGTTTCGTGTCCTGTCTGTCCTGTTTGTCAGCAGTTGATTTGAGGATACTTTGTTGTCCAGTGGCTAACTTTTGCCACAATGGAAGTTAACTCCAATTGCAGTTTTTTCAATGCCCATATTTTCTCTGAAGTAGATTGGTACTGCCAGGAGACGGCATGTCTCATAGTCATAACAAAAAAGAAAAGTTTTCTAAGTTACTAAAACATTTTAAATGTCATATTCTGTAGATCTCTGAAGGGTCTGAAGATAACCTGTCTATCTAAAATATATGTACTCAATCTTTAAAACACACCTAATATAACTACAAGTTCTATTATAATGTCTAACTACTAACTTTCATTTTTTTATATCCTAATAGTTGGTAATAACGACATTCAAGGATCAGAAAATTGCATTACATTTTTAAATGAACGGTACAATTAGAAATATACATATAGCATTTTCTAACAATATCAATTTCAATGTATATAACTTGTATACAATATAAAACGATCCAATCCAATGTAAAGTATTTACATTTTTCTTTTCTTTCCTTCTTTCTTTCTTTTTTTTAAGATAAGAACCTTAAATCTAATCTCCTTTGCTTAGCCCTTTTCCTAACCCTTGACAACTTGTAACCAACCCCCCCAATCAATGAAAATTATCCCAGACCCAAGACCCATTAAAAGACCAAACCCCCCCACACACACACACCACCTCTTTGGGAATGTGGGCGTCACATTCTTGAAATCGCTTCCTGCTGGGTATGGGCGAAGGTATCTTTATCCTGAAAAGGAAAATTTTAGGTTAATTGTCAAATTCTAGGAAACGTAACTATATCCTTCGTTATCCAGTCTGTGTATAATGCCAAAGTTCAGGGTCTATCTCAAATCCTTATTCAGGTAGTCTTTGAGACTGGAGCATCTCAGCTAGCTCTCTCAAAATTGCTCTGAGCACTTTGTAGTTCAAAGCTGATCTGTAGATGATGTTTGTCAGCTTAGTGATGTTATTACTGTCCACGTGGAATTGTTGTTGTTGTGGGGCCCCAAATCTTCCTGGTTGTTACTGTCTCCTTTATACTTGTGTCAACCCATAGTCCCTAAGGAAGCTTGGTAATCTTATTTATAAGGTTCAAGTTGGTGTTTTCCTTTCTCCTTCAGTTTTTCCTAGGCAGTTTATTTATTTTACATGGCAGTGTGTTTAAGCTTTATTAGTAAGTGTCAGTGCTTGCATTCAAACTCAGTTTGATCTGATGATAGAGCTAACATAATTTACCCACATTTACATATCTCCTTGTATAAACAGCTTTGAATGGTACTTTTAAAACTTTTTAGTTAAAATACAAATATATTATTTTTTCTCTTGGTCATCCCTTTAGATAATATAAAACTCCCCAACTCCCTTTAAATAATTTAAAATATTGAATCCCTGTGTCATTCAACCATCCATAGTGTTATTCATCATTCCCTCTTCCTCTCCTTCTGTATTTTCCTCCTTCTTTCTTCTCCAGTTAAAAGTCCCTCCCATTTTCCCCATTTCTCCTTCATATTACCTGTGTCCTCCTATTTCCCTCTTAGGGGTTCCCCTTGTCATAGCCCCATTTTAGTTACCTCCTTTCTGTAATCAGTTTTTGTTGTATACACATATATGGAGATTGAGGGCTAGGAACCAAAGGTGTGAAATAACATGGGGTATTTGTTTTTGTGGGTCTTGGTTATCTCACTCAATATAATATTTTCTAGTTCCACTAATCTACTGCATGGTTTCAATTTTCTTTACAGCTAAATGGTATTCTGTTATATACATATACCACATTTTTCATTATCTATTCACTATCTATTAATTGAAGGATATATAAGTTGTTTTCATTCCTAGTAATTGTGAACAGAGCATCAGTGAACATATCTCTGCAAGCATCTGTGGAGTAGGATGTTGTCTTTTTGAAGAACTGTCAAGAAGTGGTAAATCTGGGTTATATATTAGATGTATGTTTGGTTTATTGAAGAACTAATCACAATGATTCTCAGATTGCACTAGTTTGCAATCACACAGTAGATTATGATTCTATTTTCCTACATCCTCACTAGTATTTGTTGCTATTGGTTGTCTTGATTTTAGCCATTCTGAGATTGGTAATATGAAATCTCAAAGTTGTTCTAAGTTTTATTTACCTAATTTCTATAGGTAACGAATATTGGGTAGATATTTTTAGACTTTTTATTTCTTCTTTTGAGAATTTTTTTCAACTTCATTACCCACCTTCCTTGAGATATAGTGTCTCTTCATAGCCCTGGTTGTCCTTGAACTCATTATGTCAACCAGGCTGTTCTTCTAATCGCTAGAATCCACCTTCCTCTACATCTGGAGTACTGGTATTAAAGGTGTGAGACTATGCCCGTCTCTCATATCTCATTTTTAAATTGAGTCATTTGTTTTCTTAAGTCTTTGTTTTTTGGGGTACCTTATAGATTTTGATATTAAACTATTATCAGATATATAGCTGGCAAAGATTCTCACTTTGTAGAGTTTGCCTTCACTCAATGGACTGCCTTCTCTGCTGTACAAAGCTTTTTAATTTTGTGAGGCAATATTTGTCAATTGTTGACCTTAATTTCCAGGCAAATGGAGTCCTGTTCATGAGATCCTTTCCTACACCCATATTCTTTTGGGTCCTGCTTCAGTTTTCTTCTAGAAGATCTAGAATTTCAGATTTTTCACTGACAGTTTTGGTCTATTTGCAGTTAGTTTTCTGCAAGATGATCAATATGGGTCTATTTCATTCTTCTACATGTGGACATCCTGTTTTCACAGCACATTTGTTGAAGATGCTGTCTATTCTTCAGTGTGTATTTTTGGATCTTTGTCAAATATCACGTGACTGTAGTCATGTGTACTCATGTTTGTGTCATATTTTTTCTTCCATTGATCTATATATCTGTTTTTGCAACTGTAGGACACTATGTTTATTAATACTGCTTTAGAACATATTTTCAAATCTGGAATAAGTATTTCTGCATTGTTCTTATTATTAAGGATTGCTGTGGCTATCCAGAATCTTGTGTGATTCCATATAGATTTTAGGAATTTTTTCTAGTTCTTTGAAGAATGTCATGGTGATTTTCTTGGTGTTGCCTTGAATCTATAAATTGCTTTTGGTAGGATCATTATTTTCACAATGTCAGTTCTACCATTCCTGAATCAAAGGATGTCTTTCCATCTTGTAGTATGTCAGTCTCTTTATTCTGTGATTTAAAGCTTTCACTGTAGAATTCTTTCCCCTCCATGATTAGGATCATTGCAAGGTTTATTATATACTTTGAAGGTATTTTAAAAGGAAACAATCTCCTTCTTAGCCTGCTGGTGTACATAAAAACTACTGATTTTTGTAAGCTGAATTGTATCCTGACTCTACTGAAATTGTTCATCATTCAACAAGTTTTCTGGTAGAATATATATATATATATATATATATATATATATATATATATATATATGTGTGTGTGTGTGTGTGTGTGTGTGTGTGTATTCTGTAAATAAGGTTAATATGACTTTCTCTTTTTCTATAATTTCATTCTTCCATTGCTTATTGTAGCTAGTGATTTGAAGATTGTATTGAAAGAGAGTTAGTGAACAGCCCTGTCTCACTCTTGATTTTAATTTATTTCAATGTTATTGCTTGAGTTTTCTCCATTGAGGATAATGTTGGCTGTGAGTTTGTAATATAAAGCATTTGCTATTTTGATGTGAATTATGTAATTTATTTGATGTATGCTTCTGTCATTCCTAGTCTCTCTAGAACTTTTATAATGAGGGCATGTTTTTTTTATTTCAAACACTGTCTCAAAATTATCTCTGCCAGTGCTAGAACTCAATACGTAGTCCAGGCTGATGTTCACCTCACAGATATCTAAATGCCTCTCTATCCTGTGTGCTGAGCTTAAAACATACAGCAACAGTGTGTTGAATTTTTTAATCATTTATTTTTTATTTTCATAATTTTTATGTTTAATGTAAAAATTATGTGTGTGCCTGTGCATCAGTATATGGGTATGCACACATGAGTAATGATAGTAATTCTTATTTTTTAATGTCTCTATTTTTCATATATGTGTGTATTATAAATTTTCTTATGATATTATTGCAATATATAGAATGCATTCTAACATACGGACATATAATACATGCATATATATGTATATATATATATATATATATATATATATATATATATATATATATGTATTTTGCTTATAATCACATCCTATTGCCTCATCTTGTCTCTCTCCCACTCTTACTGTTCTTATCCCTCTTCTATATTATTTTTTTCTACTCTAATGTCTTTAAATAAATTTGGTGACTCACATAGATCCTCAGGGAGAGACAGAACCTCATGAATCCTACCCTTCTCCATAGCGGAATATTGATAGGTCTTATCCTGTGAATGGTCCTGGGTCATTAACCACAATTTCTGGGATTTCAAGAGTGCAATGAGCTTTTCATGCCCAGAAGTGAACTTTATATATGTCTCTACCTTTCCTATAGATTCTAAAATGTTTAAGAAACTTTATTTATTTAAAATGTGTATGTGTTTGTGTATATGGGTAAAGTGTCCATGAAGACCAGAAGAGGGTGTTGGATCCCCTGATTCTGGAGTCACAGGCAACTGCCCAAAGTGATAGGGGTTCTGGAAACTGAACCCAGGTCCCTGTCAAGAGCAGTATATGTTCTTAACTAGTGAGCCTCTTCTCCAGTCCAGACCTTATATTTCTTCTGCTCCTTTCCCTTTTTTGTAAATCTTCCCTGAGCCTTTGAGAGAGTGATTTAGATGTCATATTTAGGAGTGAGCATTCTGTAGTCTTTTTTTTTTTACTTTGTTTAGTTAAAAATTTCTGTATAAATCTTTGCCCATGGTAAAATGAAACATTTTCTCTGTGTAGCTTTGTGTCTTTACTGGAACTTGCTTTGTAGACCAGGCTGGCCTCGAACTCACAGAGATCCACCCCTCAAGTGCTGGGATTAAAGGCGTGGACCACCACCTGGCAAATGAACTTTTAAGACAAACATTGACAGCAATAATCTGAGGGTATAAACATAAGAATCTAAAAGCCAATTAGATAAGCATCACATTTCATTTAGTAGCAACAACAGTAGTTTCTGCACTAGGGCCTATGACATGCTTTTATATGTTTTAAAATACTGCATGTGGAGAGATGGCTCAGACATTAAGAAAAAATAACTCTACAGATGGGGATGATAACATCACAAGCGTCTTTCCCGTCTGTGCTGGATTTTTACATTGGATTGCTCTTCTAGATGTCTAGTGGGGATAACCATAGCAACTGTGAGTCCATGTGAATCATACCCATGTCACTCCCAGAATTAAGCCCTTTGTGGCACTCCTTTGGCTCTAGCTGTCTTTTCACCACATCTCCCAGAAAGTTCCCTGAGCCTTGAGTGTGAGTGGTTGTAGGTATTCTGTCACTTTCAATTTCCTTAATTCTTTTTGTATAATCTTATTTGTTCCACATAGTTAATAACATAACTTGAATATGGAAATATTTCCACTTCCAGTGAAGTCTGTGTGCCTTTGAGTGTATCTTTTTTTCTCTAATTTCAATAGCTAGACACCAGGTTAGGATGTAGTAAGAGGTGAGAACTGGTCTTTTAAAATTGTTGCTTAATAGGAAAATCAGTGTTTCTTAACAAAGTGAGGTGCTAGATGAAGGTTTTGTGTGATGTAGTTTTTTTTTTTTCAAGTATTTACGTTTGTTTTTTTTTTATTTCTTT